TAAGTTCTATGAAAAGAATGTGTGAAATGATGTGAGCCTGCTTTGCTATTTCATATTTAACTTCAAGCATCAAACAATAGCTCAATTCACTTTTTGATTATCAACATGATCACGCATTCAACTAGCCTGTTTACAAATCCATACGCAATTGAAGTCCTAAGGACTAAAAAAGAAGAGCTAGTAGAAGGCATAAATGACCCAGACCATCTTCTGAACTGGCTGATAGACAATGGTATTTTTACCCCAGAAAAGAAGATGGTCATGAGTTTCTACAGGACATGAACAGAAAAGAACTCTCGAGTTTTAGACATACTAATTTCTCAAGGTGAACGAGCCTGCAGGCTCTTTTTTTATCCATGTTTAAAGCAAGTGGAGCCAAAACTTTATAGCAAGATGAGAAAATATGTCAGTGAGGTAAATGAAAGCATTGGAGATGCTAGAAGACAATTGATAGGATATTTACTCGAAAAAGACAAGCTTTGGTTTGAAAATAGCAGTGAACGGCACCAGGAAAAAAAAGATAGCCCTAGAAGAAAAAAGCAAGAATGGGCTATTAAGAAGAAAGGAAAAGAAACTCAACTTTCAAGAGCAGCAAAACCTAGACAAGATCATTCTGATGTTGGCATCTTTGATGCAGTCACTAAAGGCTATCTTTCTGAGTTAGAGAAAACATTGAAAGATAATGATACTAATGCACTAAACTCTTCAAGTGAAACACTTCTGCATGTTGCAGCCGCTAATGGACATCTAGCAATAATGGAATATTTGATCAGCAAAGGTGCTAAGCTAGATGTGAAGGACAAGAAAGGAAGAACACCACTGCACAGGGCTGCTGAGAAAGGCCATGGTGATGCAGTGAAGGTGCTTCTCCGATCTGGTGCTTATATGTACAGTTTGGATACGGAAGGCAAGACACCACTTCATTTGGCTGCACAGAATAACCACAGTCACATACTGAAGATGCTCTTGAAAGAAGAGGCAAGAAGCTACAGGAACCAGCACAACTTTTTGCACATGGCAGCTCTTAAAGATGAGAGCAGTCTGGCAAAAATGCTTTTAAAGGCTGGTGCCTCCACTGATGGAAAGGATGAAAGAGGACAGACTGCTCTCAGTTATGCTGTTTCTCAAGGGTCTGAAAATATTGCAAAAGTACTGCTAGAAGCTGGAGCCAGTGTTGATTCCAACATGGCCGAAAGAGCCTTCAACAGCAACCACCCATCCATCTTCAAAATACTACTAGAATATTCTAAAGATTTGTCATCTGATGTAATGGAGTCAGCTCTTTTCAGAGCTGTACAGAAAAATCTGCATGGTATTGTAGCAGCTTTAATTGACAGAGGTACAGATAGAGATGCCTACAATGAAATGCAGTACACTCCTTTACTCCTGGCGTGTGAAACAGGCAAAGCTGAATCAGCAGAAGTTCTAATCGAAAAGGGAGCAAACTTCGGAATAAAGACTCCTGCTTCAGACACAGCTTTGCATTTGGCAGTTCAAGCTGGGGCTGCTTCCATCACAAATCTGCTTCTGCGCAAAGGGATGGAAGTTAACCTTATGAACCAAGCCGATGAAACCCCGCTCCATGTTGCTGCACTTCATAATAAAGGAGCATTAGTTGGCCTTTTAGTTAATGCTGGGGCCAAAATTAATGCTGTCACTAAAAAGTTTGTTACTCCCCTGCATATTGCAAGTCAAAGAGGTAACACCGATGTTGCCCAACAGCTGTTGCACCACAAAGCCAATGTTAATGTTAAGGATAAGCAGTCAAAATCACCTTTACATTTTGCTGCTGAAAGGGGAGACAAAACAATGGTAGAGATGCTTCTTAATGCTAATGCTGACGCCAATGCACAAGACGAGGAGAAAAAGACTCCCCTGCACACTGCAGCTGTGAGAGGACATCTCAGTATTGTGAAAGTTCTGTTAGCTAAAAAGGGAAGATTTGGAGCTAAGGACATGGATGGATGTACTCCGATGCACTATGCAGCCATCAAAGGAAACACAGAGATCGTAAAAATTCTTCTGACATCAGGGAAAAATAAAAATATTGATGATAGAAACATTTGGAGAAAGACCGCACTGCATATTGCAGCGGAATATGGACACAGTGACTTGATAAATCTATTACTGAGCTATGGGGCAGCCATTAATGCCTTAGACAGCAGCAAGGATACGCCATTGCATTGTGCGTGCAAGGCTGGCCATTTTAATGCTGTAAGTTCCCTCGTAAACTGGTCACAAGGAGAAAAAGCAAATTTACTAGCTGCTAATAGTCTCAAAAAGACCCCATTGCAAGTAGCAGAATTTAATAAAACAGAAAATCAGGCTCAAATTGTAACACTTTTGAAAAAGAAAATGTTAATAACAAAATGAAGATGTAAAGCAAAAACTTCTAAATTTAAATGCAGAAATCTCTTTTAATGTAATTTGGATAGTGCTGTTGCCCAGTATGATTGAGAATTATGTTAGGGCAGGCAGAATTAAGTTAGCAATCAAAGGTGGCCATGGAAAAAAAGGATCTTAAAGATACTGTTAAACTGCTAAGTATTGATTTGTCTTTTGCTTCTCTCATGAATCTCATACTTGGAACCTATTTAAAAAGCACCAGTCTTAAACACATTGTGTATGACCTCTAGTATAAATCAAGACTTTAAAAAAAATACAGACAATCACTTTTCATATATCTGTGGATATTAGCCTGTATGGATAGCTTAGTTAAGCATTGTTAGGTTAAAAAGCCATCTATTATGAATAAGGAGACATCTGTATCCTCAAGGATACAGAGCATCGAGATGTTGCAGTAGATAACACTAGTTTTGTTTAGCTTAGGCAGACCTAACTGCAGAGTGCTGCCAAAAGAGATTGATCTGCCCTCACTTTCAGTCAGCATGCCTGCTCTAGGTTGTGTGTGTGAGCTGATCCAACTTATTCCACAGCTATAACTGAACAAAGGGGAGAAGCAGGGTAGCAAATAGCTGAACAGCACTGGCTCTCCTGAGGGCAATGTAGTATTAGCTTGGTTTATGCTTACAGTATTGCTCTCCGAGCTAACTGGAGATCAGAAGGCATCCCCCTGCAAATTTACTAGCGTGGGGTAATTAGTGTGGGTTTACCCACTCCCCATGCTAATAAATCCTATCAAGAGGCTTGGTATAAACCAACCGGAGGAGTAGTGTGTGCCCAAAACTTTACTAACACGATGATGTTGTTTTCAGGACACTATTATGTGCTACACTGACATTCAATATTGGGCTGGACCCTCTTTAGACATTTCTATACTATACCCTATGACATGGCACTGACAGATCCCAAGACTATAACAATTATTTTTCTTTCTATCTTTCATACCATTTGTCTACATTTTGCATTTTTAAGTAGAGATAATGAAAACAATCATATTTGCTGTTTATTAATTCCACTTGCAAATAAATTCCAGCACAAAGATGAAATATTCAGAATAAAAGGGTTGCAACAGAGTTTATTGGTTCAAAATATTTGTATTGTCATCTCTTAAACAGAAACACTTTCTTGAGTCGATGGAAGGTTCTCTGTGGTCATTTCCTATATAATGATAATCAACCCTCACAGTTCTTCACAATTCCCTTCAGTATATGATTAGATACCCCCACACCATGAAGTGACAAATACTTCTTGTGAAATGAAACACAGATTTAAGAACGTATGGGAATACAACTGTGACTTTTATAGCCATGCTACAACACAACCCGCACAACACCCTGCAGCTGTCATCTTCTAGATGAATGAAAAGACATGACCGCACGCTTGGAAGTACACAGAGAGAGGCTAGCAAAACCGACATCTGCAGCACGATGCACCGAAATAGCGTCCCTCTTCGGTCAGCGCATCACCCTTCAAGGGGCCCCGGTGCACCCCGGGCAGCTCGCAAACCGCCGCTAGCCCAGCGTGCTTCAGCAGCCGCAAGCGAGGAAAGGCGAATCGCCAGGCGGGTTTCCGTCCACCCCGCGGCCCTGAGGCACGGCTTCCCCCTCGGAGCACTCCCACCCCACAGCGAGCGGGGCAGCCCGGAGGAGCAGCAGGCACCGGGACGCGCGGCCTGGGCGGGCTCCAGCCAGCCTCCCTCCGTCGCGGCC